GGGGGCAGGAGAGGCCTGGCCTTTCTGAGACTGGCCTGCAGACAGGCCCAGCTGTGGCTGCTCAGGACGCTGCGCCCACGGCTTTGGGGGCCTGTCTCTGCCCCGCGAAGCTACCTGGTCGCCAGGGAGAGGGCTGAGCAGCCCTGGCCCAGCCCGTTTCCCGTGGGGGTCTGTGGGTCCGCCCCGGCCGAGCCATCGATGGCGTCTCTTGTCCCTGGGCCCCAGGGAGGCCACGTGGCCAGCCTCCCGCCACACACCCAGACGGGTGGGCCTTGCTGCCGTGGGTGGGACCGCCCGCTCTCTCCTGTACCTGCTCTTCCACTCCGCCCTCTCCCCTAAACTGTAATCTCAGCGTTTCTCTAAAATGTAAACAAGATGACAGGCAGAGACTTTCACAAGCCAGATGGCGTACAGGGAGGGAGGCCCCTGCTATCCCCGAGGGCAGAGTGGGGAGTCGCCTCCGGGAAGGTGTGTCCCTCCACCAGGTCCCCCATAGTTGCCATGGTTACGGCGTCCCAGGGAGCAGCAGGGGAGCTGGCATCGGCATGGGGAGGCGTGGCCTGGCAGCCAGGGCCCAACGGCCCAGTACCCTGCGAGGGCCACGGCCACGGCCACAGCCCAGGGCAGCAGCGGCTTTCTCTACGCAGGAGTGTGAGGGAAGGCCGCCGCCATGGCACAGCCAGGTCGTGGTGCCCCACGGGGCTGGGGCTGATGGCGGTTTCAGGTCCCCAGGGAGGCACGAGCCCGGGGGTCAGGACCAGGGAAGGGCTGGCGGTGTGGAGAGACCCTGTGGAGGAGGCTCCTCTTTCCACGAGTGTGCACACACTGTCTGTCACAAACGTTCTGACGCAGCAGTGGCACGGGGCTGCAGGGCGGGTCCACACGGATGGCTCCACGCTTGCAGCTGGCCCCAGAGCCTTGGAAATCACACCGGGCGCTAGTGCATTAATCCCTCGGGGGGCTGACTTCTCGCTTTCCCTCTGCGGCTGTCTGTCTGTCTCTGAGGCAGAAAGTCCTGTTACAACGGATGCATAGAGAACAGTGCCCTTTGGTCTGCACCAGGCCAAGGACGGGTCTGTGCTGGCACGTGTCGGCTCTCCACTCCAGGACGCGGGCGTCCCCACCCGTGACTCTCAGGCCGCGCAGCCTACCCCGCGAGGGTGCTGATGGGTGAAGCCTGTGGTACACGAGGACAGGGAAGAGCCTGCTCCAGCAAGCTGTTTTCCAGGAAAAAGGGCAGGGCTGCACCGGCACACCCGTCAGGCTGGTCACACCATCTCCCAGAGCCCAAGAGTAAGGCAGAGCGAGGCGGGCAGGAAGGGGACTTCCAGCGGCCGGCAGCCCGGCCACAGTGCCAACAGCTGTCTTTGCACAGAACAGCAGAGACGAGTGAGAATGCCCTATGCTTAATGAATGGGGCGTTTAAAGGCTTGCCCGGGCAGGAAAGCACCTTTTGACGAGCGGAGGTTGTGCTGTTGGTGAGTGCGGCCTGGTCGGCCAGCACCTGTGAGTCGTCCCCTTCTGCATGCCACGGCCCATCGGGCCAAACCAGATACACTAAAAAGGGAACATTCAAACCAGGAATCGTATGCTGTGAGTAACTACTGTAGACAGGGCCCCGGAACTGACCAGCTGCAAATGTTTAGGCCCGTTTTACTTAGAGCAATGCAAGTGTCAGATTGAAGCTCTTGGTGTACCGCTGGGTGGAGCCAGCAGCTGGTGTGGTGGTTAAGGCACTGGACTCCCACAGGGTCGGCTGCGGTTCCAGTCTGAGATCCGGTGCCTTGAAAATCATGCCGGGCAAGTGTGTGCGTGTGCCTAATATCCCGGAGAACGGACTGGCGTGGCCACCCCCAGGGGTGTTCTCTCCTTCCTTCTCTCTGTCTTTCTGCAAGCGCACGTGCCCTATGGCAAAAAATCAAAATCAAAATACAACAAAAAGACTGCTCTATCTATATGCTCTGTCTATACGCTCTGTCTATACGCTCTGTCTATACGCTCTGTCTATACGCTCTGTCTATACGCTCTGTGTATATGCTCTGTCTATATGCTCTGTCTATATGCTCTGTCTATATGCTCTGTCTATATGCTCTATCTATATGTATTTTTAAGTTTATTTACTTTTCCATTTCTTCCAAGAACAAGAGAAGGAGACAGCACCCCAGCGGGGCCTCAACACCACACCCCAACTCCAGCTTCCACACAGCTGCAGGTCACGGCTACGTCCGGTGTGCTCAGGGACTCCCAGAACTCGAACAGGGACACTCCCTACACAGAACTGACGCACAGTGTCCCCGCCGCCACAGCCTGGCCCAGGTTCCGTGTGCACTGGGACGCAGAGGCCTCCGCTCCCGACCCCAGCATGCGCTCTTCCTGCGGACTGCCGGCTGTGCCGAGCTCAGGCCGGTGGCCAGGCAGCGTCAGTTGCCCAGGGCATGCTGGCCGACACCCAGACCCGGCCTCCCTAGCAGAGTCGGGCAGGCTGCACGCGGGCGGCATCTGGACCTGCCCCACCCCCGCTGTTCAAACTGGGGCGCGTCCATAGTCACGGGACCTCAGGTGGGGTCTCCGGCCTCTCAGGAGCGTCCCGGCTGTAGGGTAGGGTGGCTGTGAGGACTGAGTGAAGTGATGCCCTGGCCCCTCATTCCCCTGTATCCGCAGTGGGCGTTGGCAGGTTCGATTACGAGGCGGAGGACAGCTTAGCTCTGCAGTAGCCGCTGGGCCAGGGTGTACAGCCCTTGAGGGTCTTTGGGGATGAGCCCGCCCGGATAGTGGAGCGAGGTGACAGGGTGGGCTGAGCAGTGTCTCGGGCCACTAACACCAAGGTCTTTAGCCTCACGGTCTCACAGATGGGAAGACGCCATTTCCCATGAAAACTTACCTATCTGTCTTGGATACAATTCGCGGTTACACTTTCTTTTCATGCCATCCCTGTTTTGCCCTGTAACTAATAGACATGAATGCAAGGTGTTACACGTGTGGCTTGAGAACCACGCCGGACACACGTGCATGCCCCAAACCCTCACAGGAACAAGTGGCCGGAAAGGGCTGTAGTGTGCCCGTGGCCCGCTGAGGTTCTGGGGCTGGTTTTCCCTTGGTTAGAACCTAGGCAGTGGGGGGTAGAGCGCTAGAAACCCATGCCCAGCGCCCCAAGGTGACAGCTGCAGGCAGGACTCAGGGCCACATCTAGTGAGAGCCTCGGAGAGAGGGAGGGAGAGAAGGAAAAGAAAGAAAGAGTAAGAGAGAGGAGGAGGAGAGAGGAGGAGGAGAGAGGAGATAGAGGAGGAGGAGAGAGGAGAGAGAGAGGAGGAGGAGAGAGGAGGAGGAGAGAGGAGGAGAGAGGAGGAAAGGAAGAAGAAAA